CGGGGTGCCTTGATAGTTGAAGCAGACTTTGTGCTGTTGAAGCTAGAGAGGTGAGCAGAGTAAGTCTGATTCCCTGTAAGGACTTCTCTGTTTACATCCACCCCTTGGCGCTCGTATGACCTTATGCAGTTGCGAGCGCCGTAAAACCTCTACTAAAACTAACTACCATGAAACTCTTACTAAAACTGATTTAAAAGTAGGAGGAAATGACGTCAACATCAACAAAATTTCATAATTTCTATGCTCAGATGCTCTCATAGAATATGTATAGTCGTTTTTCATCGCCCGTTTATTCAAGTCCTCTAAGGGAGTTTTTCTTGGTCTTCCGTTGGTACTTCTGCCTTTTTTTTTTTTACTAGAGATATTTTGTAAAGAAAAATGTCCATAGGTGTCAGTTTCTCATCATTGTACAGCACACAGCCTAACTTGCTCCTTCTCTCTTGTCACATCTTTCTATGTTACTTTTTAGTAACACCGCTAATCTTGGCCACTTATGTATCCTATTTGTGTTGCAAGTGCAGGAAAACTGGTACTAAAATTTTAAAAAAAAAAAAAAAATCCAACCTACCTCTTTACCACCTTCTTAAGGCGACTGCCTGCTTAAGTGGCCACCTTTTGAAAGTTATTCTTTGGGGTTTTTTGTTTTTGTTTTTAAATTTTTTCAGCTTTTCTTTGGTGACAAGGAAGGTGGTTGGAGGGCATTTACTGGGAGGTCCTACTTCTTGAATATCCTCTGTTTTTGTCTATCTGTCCATCTTGTTCTTTTTTTTTCCATATCTCTAAATGACCATCACTGAAATAAATGTGTGGATGTGTTTGTCTTTCTCTGCATCCTGTTGTTACAACGTCAAACCTGTTCTAACCCCCCCTGGGGCAGTGCCACTGACTGTAGTGTCTTTAGGCCATTCCCAAAGGGGGGACATTTCTTGTTCAAGCACAGTAGAATTGTAAATGGGCTGATTCATGTCACGCTCATAACTGTGCCTGATCTACAACAGGGAACTGCTGCTTTTTCTTTCCTGATCCTTACTATTGTCTTTTTCCTCTACTTCTTTTGTATGTTTGTCACTCTTGTGACCTGCTATTTCCAGGGTGCCTTGATAGTCGAAGCAGACCTTGTGCTGTTGAAGCTAGAGAGGTGAGCAGTCTAAGTCTGATCCCCTGTAAATTGTAAAGACTTCTCTGTTGACACCCACCCCTTGGCGCTCATATGACTTTATGTAGTTGCGAGCGCCGTAAAACCCTCTACTATATATATATATAAACTTGTGCTAACAGCCTCTTGTACAAGACAACCACCTGTACAAGACAACCACCTGTACAAGACGACAATCTGTACAAGACGACAATCTGTACAAATGACCCCTTACCACTCTCCCTCCCCGTCCCCTTGCATGTTTTCTATCTCAATGACACTGTTAAAGACCTCCACCTGTCAAAGACATTCACTTTTCTTCTCAACAATGGCTGGCCGTCCTGGACAATTCTGACTGGGCATGGATTAACCATGTGCTTACTTCTCACCTGTATTTGTTTGGTTTTTTTCCCAGGTCATCTCAGGGGATGGGTGGGTTTTCCCAAAATTCCCAGGGCTTGTTTGGAAAAGCGACGGGCTCTTCTGCTCCGAACCCTTTTGCTCAGACGGGTCAGCAGCTGGGGGTGTCGGCCGGCGCGGGACTCTTCGGGAAACCCACGAGTTCTTCCACGCCCTTCGGCTCTACCGCAGCCGCTGGCAACAGTAGCAGCAGCGGCTCTGTCTTTGGCGGAAACACCTCGTCATTTTCCGGAGGGTCTGCTTTTGCAAATACCAGCGCCGGCTTGTTTGGAAAAGGGCAGCAGGATACTACGTCTAATCCTTTCGCCTCAACGAGCCCGACTGGCGGTGGCCCGAGTTTGTTCGGGGGAAATTCTGCAGCCAGTCAGCAGGCGGGTGGTGGGATGATGGGAGGGGCTGCTTCTAATGTTTTCATGAACAGCAACAACAACAACAACAACGCGACAGGAAGCTCTGCCCCTCAGAGTCTGTTTGGAAAACCGGTGGGGAACCAGATGTCTGGCACTGGCAGTGTCTTCGGATCGGCGCCAGCTCAACCCGGCTTATTCAGTCCAGCAGGACAAGCGAATCAGGGTCAAGGTCTTCTTGGGGCAGCTCCGAATAAACCTTTTGGTGGCTCCGCCTTCTCATCGCAGTCAGCGAAACCTGGCCTTCTCGGCGCCGCGCCCGCTGGGTTGTTCTCTTCCCCCACGGCGGGGGGAGGAGGAGTGGGAGGTAGCGGAGGACTACAGCCGGCCGCGGGACAGCAGACGTTGTTCGGAAAACCTGTCGCCGCCGCGTCCACGTCGGTTCTGCCGCAGCCGGGGCTGTTCAGTACGGGGCCAGTGGCCAGCGCAAGTGCCGGTCTGCCAGGCGCTGCGGTTTCTTCGTCTTCTACGTCGGCCTCCGACGTCAATCCGGGACGCTACACGCCCCTTGATCAGCTCACTGAGTCGGAGAAGGCGGAGTTCAGCGCACCGGCGTTCACGTTAGGGAAAATACCCCTGCACCCCCCTCCAAAAGAACTCATCAATATTTGATGTTTTAAACCAAAGCTCTGTTGTGTTTTTATCAATACAGTCCAGCATGCACATAGTGAACACACAACAAACGTGCACATAGTGAACACACAACAAACGTGCACATAGTGAACACACAACAAACGTGCAAAAACATTTTTTCGGTCGCAACCTGGATTCGAACCCAGGACCTTTGAATGAGAGGTGAACACCTTAACCTCTAGGCCACGAGAGCCCCCTGTAGCGAAACAGGCATGTTGAGAAACATGGAAGTAA